CTCTATCAAATAAATAAATAAAATCTTTAAAAAAAAAAAAAAAGCAAGCAAGCTGTGGACTCACAAATTCTGCCAAAAATCAAAGCTGTTCCTCAGCTTCAAGGCTACCTTTGCTCTGTTTTCTCTCACAAATGGAGTTTACCCTCACAAACTGGTGTTCTAAATTTCTTACAAAGAACCTAATTAATAACTGATCCATTAAAATGTTTATGCACCAAAGGACACTATGGAGAAGGTAAAAAGGCAACCCACAGAATGGGAGAAAATATTTATAAATCATATGTCTAATAATGGTCTACTATCCAGACTATACAAAGAACTCTTACAACACACACACACAAAGAGAAAAAAGAAAGAAACAAACAAAAGGCAGTTAAAAAATAGGCAAAGAGATTTCTCCATGGAAGATATACATGTGGCCAATAAACACATTTTTTTACATTTTTTTTTTTTGTCAATAAACACATCAAAAGATCCTCAACATCATGAGTCATTAGGGAAATACAATTCAAACCACAATGAGATACTACTTCATGCCCACTAGGGTGACTATATGAAAGAAAAGGAAAAAAAAAAGAAAAAAAGAGGAAGAGGGAGGGAAAAGAGAAGAGAAGAGAAGCAAAAGAACAAATGTTGGTGAGAATGTGGAGAAACTGGAACCCAATGTACTGTGGGTTACAATGTTAAATGGTATAGCTGCTATGGAAAACTGTTCTCAAAAAGTTAAACAGTTCTGGGCGCCTGGGTGGCTCAGATGGTTAAGCGTCTGCCTTCGGCTCAGGTCATGATCCCAGGGTCCTGGGATCGAGTCCCACATCGGGCTCCCTGCTCCTTGGGAGCCTGCTTCTCCCTCTGCTTCTCTCTCTCTCCCTCTGTCTCTCATAAATAAATAAATAAAATCTTTAAAAAAAAAAAAGTTAAACAGTTCTACTCCAGGGCATACCCAAGAATTGAATACAGGTGTTCAAATAAAAGTTTATAACAAATGTTCATAGCAGCACTATTCACAATAGCCAAAGGGTGGAAACAACCCAAATGTCCATCAACTGATGAAGGGATAAACAAAATGTGGCATATCCATACAAGAGTATTATTCAGTCACAAACAGGAATAAAGTACTGATACTGCAATACTGAAAACATCATGCTATGTGAAAGAAGCCAGACAAAGGCTACATATTATATAATTTCATTTATATGAATATTCAGAATAGGCAAATACACAGAAACAGATTAGTGGTTGCCAGGGCCTGGTGGGAGGGGGAAATGAGGAGTAACTGCTTAATGGATGTGGGGTTTCCTTTTGGGGTAATGAAAGTGTTCTAGAACTAAATAGTGGCAATGCCTGCACAACACCAGATGTGCTAAATGCCACTGAATTATATACTTTAAAATGGTTAGAATAATCAATTTTTTCAAGGTTTTTTAATTTTCTTTAATTTTTAAAGATTTTATTTATTTATTTGACAGAGAGAGACACAGCAAGAGAGGGAACACAAGCAGGGGGAGTGGGAGAGGGAGAAGAAGGCTTCCCGCGGAGCAGGGAGCCCGATGCGGGGCTCTATCCCAGGACCCTGAGATAATGACCTGAGCCAAAGGCAGATGCTTAACCAACTGAGCAACCCAGGCGCCCCATGGGTTTTTCTTTTTAAATATTTATTTATTTGAGAAGAGAAAGAGAGAGCACAAAGCGGGAGGGACAGAGGGAGAGGGAGAGAGAATCTAAAACACTCTGTACTGAGCATGGAGCCCGACGTGGGGCTTGATCTCACGACCCCAAGATCATGACCTGAGTTGAAAGAGTTGGCTGCTTAACCAACTGTGCCTATCAGGCACCCTACAGAATAGTGAATTTTTTTGTGAAATTGTTGTCAATAAAAATAAAATTCTATTCTTCTTCCACATAGTATCTGAAAACTTTTACGCCTTGAACTTTTTCTCTTAGGAGTGGAAGCAATAGTCACTACCATTAGTTTTAAAGTCTACAAAACACTTTGCCATAGAATCTTATATAATCTTCACAACCCATGAGGTAGAATATCACCCCAACTTAGAGATAAGAAAAACAGGCTCAAGATATAAAGTCATATAGCTAGGAAGTGAGACAGCTGACTGAGCAAATCAGATTGGGCTGTCTCCACTGTATTACACTGCCTACAAGGCAAACAGCTCCAACTTCTGATAAGCTTGAAAAAGGATAGGAGATGTTACTGTGTACAAGCATCTTGGGCAATTTTTCTTCTTCCAAAGCTAGTGTTTTAATTAAAGCAGTAAAAATATTCATTGTACACAAGTTAATAAAGTTCTTTAAAAAAACAATCTAGATCATTATTGTATAACAGCAGCATAAAGTGGACATTACAGATTTCCTTTTCCAATTTTTGAAAGATAGGGGTTTCAGTTTCTCAGTGCAATATATTTTATAATGTTAGCGTGTTCGCTCATCAGTGAAGTTTAGCATAATGTTTACAGGGCATGGCAGTAAAGCAATGGGATAATTGTGCATGTTCCTTATATAACTGGCTTCATTAAGTTACAGTCACATTTCCTATTAAGGATTAGCTAATGAATGACATTATCAGTGGTTTTCTAACACTGATGACTCCTATATATGTTCCTGAGAAGCAGAAGGGTCAGGGTTATCCAACCCTCTATCAATCAGAGCAGCCTCTTAATTATTTTCCATACTGGGTTTTTCCTGAAGATATTATTTGAAGAAAGGATTCCACAGTTTTTTTAAAAAGTACTTATTGAAAACCACTACAGTACATACATGAATCCTCACTTCCTATAGAGGTTTTTAAAAATCTTTGCAGATTAGCCAACATTACATAATTAAGATTATCTCTCAATACCAGCACAGAAATGTCAATGGGGCTCTCATTGTACACTTGGTTTACGGGTGGTCTTATTTTTCCAGGCTCAATTCAACCATCTTGGTAATCCCCATTCTATAGAGTACACATTATAATCACACACTGACGAACAAGTGACTTATCTCAGATAACAGGGCAAAGCATGACCAGGGTCCAGACGTGAAGCCCCACCTCAGATGGCTTAGCCTGTTGGATGCTCTCCAGTTCAAAAAGTCTTGGTGTCATGTGGTCCTTCAGTGCAATGTGACCTGAAGGTACAGATGTCTCTATTTGTGGTGCATGCCAACACTTGAGCTGGCTATAAGCCAGTAATGTTCGGAACTTGTGTCTGCTCAAGGGCAGCACATCCTCTCTTCCTTCTATGCTCTAGGTTATCCCTTGTTCCCTTGATGGAAAACCCTTTCCAGGAGCAACATATGGTACAAAACAGAAATTATGAAATATGAAACAGAAGACCTGGGTTCAAATCCTGGCTCTATCTATTAGTATTCCCTTCATGCCTCAACTCTCTGGGCCTCAGTTTGTTCACGGTACTTACCTCATGGGCTATCAGAAGGATTAAATGAGATAGTTTAGCAGTTCACATCATGTGGGCTACAGACCCCTGGGCATGTCTGACCATATCACCAGAGGTCTGAAAAAGCATATACTAGAGAAAAAGAACTATTCAGGGATTAAGATTAAAAACCCTGGAATAAAACTGTCTGGGTTCAAATAATGGTTTTATCAATGGAGCAAATTACTTAGTCTTTTCTGTCTCAGTTCCTCATTTGTAATTGGAGAAAACATTATCTTACTGGATTATTACAAGGATTAGCTGAGTCCACACTTGTGAAGTACTTATAACAGTGGCTGGCATAGTGAGAATTCAATACATGTTAGCTATTGTTACTGCTATATATGCACTTGTATATTCCAAGCAAAGTATTATCAGGTAGGTGTTTGCCAAGTTGATGTTAAAAAAGGGTTGTTACTCTTGTAAAGGTTAAAAACTTCTAAGATAATAGTCGTAAAAAAAATCCAGTACACTACACCTGTCATGTCCTAATCCAGAGTGGTTGAATCTATGATTTCAATCTTCTCCAACTTATTGAGACTTGTTTTGTGGCCTAACACATGTTCTCTCCTGGAGAACGGTCCACGTGCACTTGAGAAGAGAATGTATTCTGTTCTTGTTGGGTAGTGTGTGCCCTGTGTGTCTGTTAGGTCTAACTGGTTTATAATGCTGTTCAAGTCCTCTATTAACTATTGATATTCTATCTGGTTGCTCTATTTGTTAGTGAAAGTCAGGTACTGAACTTTGCAACCTATTGTAGAACTGTCTATCCCTCTTCAATTCTGTCAGTTTTTGCTTCACATATATTGGGGCTCCTTTGTTAGTTATGTTTATAATTGTAGTATCTTCTTGTTGGTTTAAACCTTTTATCAATATATAATGTACTTTGTCTCTTGTAAATTTTTTTGATTTAAAGTCTATTGGTCTGATATTTAATAGCCACCCAGCTCTCTTTTGATTATCATGTACATGGAATATCTTTCTCCATCCTTTTACTTTTATTCTCTGTCTTTGTATTTAAAGTGAGTCTCTCATGGTTTGTTTGTTTTTTTAACCAATCTGCCAATCTCTCCTTTTAATAGAAGAATTTAACCCATTTAAAGTAATTACCAATAAGGAAAGATTTACTTCTGCCATTCAGCTATATGTTTTCTGTATGTTTTATATGTTTTGTTCCTCTTTTCCTCTATCATTGCCTTTTTTTTTTTAATTAATCTAAATCCTACCTGTAAAATTCACTTAGGAGGCTTGGTCTTCCCAACAAGGCGACCACCTCTCCCTCTACTTGAATAGCTCCTGATGAGTATCTCCTTCATGGATCTGTCCCAAATGTTTAAAAGGGAAGACCTGGCCATGAAAGTAGTCTCAAGTTCTATCCCTATTTTCACCATCTGAATCACTTGCCTCTTAAATGCATACCCACCATACACTATTCACCATTCATACATAACGTTTACTATCATTGTCTATTTCCTGCCTATATGCAGCCTGGGTTAGGCTGGACCCTAGAATACTTAGGAAGGGTCTTTTGACAACTGTCAGAAAAAGAAGTGAGAGGCAGTGGCTTACATTGTAGGAGCGGGGGTGCCTTTGTTTCCACTGCACCAGGAGCAGCTGGGCCACCACCAAAGTAGCGATGAGGATGAGGACCATTTCAGCATGCATGGCTTCATGGCCGCGGTGCTTGGCATGCATGCGTGCGTGCTCAACCCTGAAAGTCAAACAGATGAGGTGAGGCAGATCAGGGAAGGTGTGCTGGTAAAAGGGCAGTGCTTTCCAGGGATATTCCACCAGTCTATAGCTCAGAACACATTCTTGGGCTTTGCATCTGCAGGGTACTAATTAGGGGCTAGAAAAACACACACCCTAGAGAACGGGCATTTTGGGATAGAACAGGGGCTCTATGGGCCTCAGTCAGAAGCTCAGCTATTGGAAATAAAGGTGGGTTGTTTGCTACCCACCCCCAAGAGCAAAAGCAGCTGACACCTTTCCTGTAGGAAAGAGGACCCAGGAGAAACCTGTTGTCACTGCCCATTTCAGTCCTATTTCAACCTGTCATTGGAAGGAGAAAGTAACCCAGAGAGAAGGATATAGCCATAAAATCTTATACTCTTAGTCAATGATATTTATGACACCAATAAAGAAGTACTACTGCAGATGTGTACTAATTCCAGGGTTAAAGTCTTGCTTTATTTGTCCTATCCTCTCTGTCAGGACCAGGGATCCTAGTCTAAGACTAGCTAAAGCCTGAAAAATCTGGACTGTTTCAACTTTATACTAATCCAACGGTGTCTTCACCATCAGCATCCACAGGCAAATAGCCTCCTCAAGAGTTTAAGGAAGAGTGCAACTGGAAACTCTTATTTAATCTAAGGCTGGCATTCTCTGGTCCAGAGGACTGGCAACAGGTGATTCTCTTGGCCAATACCTTCCTTTAAGAATAGAGTCAGAGTCAGCCAACAGAGAAATGAGGAAGGAGTTAGAAAACTAAATACAAATACAGCCTGTAGTGAGGAGCTTTTATGCCAATTCTCCATACCTGGGGCTATTAGGGAGACAGGGAAAGGACAACATAAATGGTATCTTCATAGAGTTCCCAAGGGCAATGACAGACTATTCAAGAAGAACCCAATGGGATGAATTACAGACTAACAAACGATAAAGCAAATACAGTGAAAAGTTAACTGCAGAATCTAGGTGGTGGGCCTAAAGGTGTTTACTGTATAATCTTTCAACTTTTCTGAGATTTTTTCATAATAAAATGTTAGGGAGGAAACATGGTAGGGGCAGTGGGCAGCCAAATGTCAGCAGCCAGCCACAGCATCTCAGGGTTCATCTTACATCAACTCATCCAGGGTGAGAGATTCTGACAAAAAAATAACACGGGTGGGAGTCAGAAACTTAGGTTCAGACATCCATGTGGCCTTGGCCAAGAAAATTCACATCTCTACATCACAATTTCTTCATCTATCCAAGGGGTCCGTATCTTTGCTGCTTCCCTCATAGGGTTGTTGTGAGGATAAGCTAAACTAAAAGGGCAAAGGACACTTTAGAGACCTAAGGACTGTGGGGAGTTATAAAGATAACAGATACATTTCTTATTCTCGGACAGTATATGACTAAATGGATGTACACAACAAAAATACCAAATATGGAGAAAAGACCAGAGAACAACAACTCTAGTTCAGGTTCCCACCCAATGCAAACATTATCTTTACAATCTTTGTTTGAATACTTCCACCGGCTGAGAACATATGCCTCTTAAAGTAATTCAAGGACCATCTGTCTGGCACATTGTAGGTACTCACATGTGCTAATAAAGGAATAAAACTCCAATACTTTAAGGGCAGGAGCTCACTACCTCTCAATATACCACGATTATTAAAAATGTCCCTGATGAGACAAAATCCATCTTTCTATAGCTTCAATCCATTGGACCTAATTTTATACTCTGGAACAACAGAGGACATAATCACTCTTCTTTCCCAATGCTGCTCTTTCAAAGATTTATATGATCTTATTTAAAAAACCCAAACCAAAACAATCCTCTTCCTACCACCACTTTTCTATGCCCTTTTACGCTAACAGTTCTAGATCTATGCTATTCATATAACATAATGTGAAAACCATTAATCCTGGTTGCCTTCTTCTAGATGTTATCTAACTGAAGATCTTCTTAATATGCAGTGTTTACAACAAAATTAGTGTGGACTCAGTGAAGCACGGTGGCACTTCACCTCCCTAAAGCAGAGAGTATATTTCTATGAACATCTTCCAAATTTTGGAATGTTTTGGTAGCTGAGATACACAACTGGTACATATTAAGTTTAAAGCTTTCTAAAATCTTGCTGCGTTTGTCATGTAAGTTGGTATCTTTGCTGTTGTCTATTTTAATAATCTAAATGAAAGGGTTTTTTTGTACTATTAATCAAATTTACATAGTTGATTCCAGCTCACTGGTCAGCTCCCTTGTGGGGCAAACACTCTGAAGGCTCTCTGATGAGTAATCATGATAAAAAGGTATTTGTTGACTGCTGACTCACTCTGGTTACAAAGCAAGTTAGTAGCAGAGTTGAGATCAGAAGACACTAGTCCCATTTTTCAGCCAGATCTCTCTGCTCTGTTTCGTGGATAATGATGATGTTAATGATGACAGTCACCTGCAAAGCAGGTAACACTTACTGGAAGCTTACCACATGCCAGGCATTGTTCTAAGTATTTCACATATATTAATAGTCCTCACAACAACTCTATGAGGTGTAAGTACTGTTGCAAACTTCATTGTGCAAACTGAGGAAACTAAGGTAGTAAGAAATCAAGTAACTTGCCCAAGATAGCATAGCTAGGAAATGGCAGAACTAGTAGTATTTAAACCCAGATAAATAGTTTGGTGCAATTTCCTATTTACTCCCCAGGACTGAAGGAGCTACCCAGGAGTAACCCAAGTACTGGAGAAGATCACCTCCTCTTCTAGTCAATGACCTCTCCTACTAGTCAAGAGTCATGGCTTCCCCACAGACAAGGAAGCAAAAGGGTAGATATACAACTCTATTAGTAGGATTAATTTACAGTTCCCAGCCTGAGGGGCCCACACTGTCACACTTACCTCCACTGCTCCTCTGGGGAGAGGTCTGACATATCAACCTATAGAAAAACAACACCAAAAAGATCCATTACTGTCTTAGAACTGTGCCTGCCCAATATAAGGTGCTCATACATTCATCATTATCTTCAAGGAATTATGAGAAGCTTCAAGTGTCACAATCTTTATGAAGCCTTCCCCAATACTCTACTTCCCACTGATCTCTCCCTTCTCTAACCACTTACTTTATCTCATGTCTATGACTGACAGTATATTGCATGTCTATGCTAGGCAATGAGGACAGGAGAGTAAACCTAAACCTAGTCAAGAAGTCACACATATATACAGAAAATTTCTTTATTATATGCTGAGGACTAGCTATGGAAGAATAAAGAAATGGCTTCTGATCCAATTTGCAGTGTTATAGACTGGCAAAGACCTCCCGGAGAAGACGTGAAATATCATCCAGATGAAGAAATGAGAGAAATACATTCCAGGCAAAGGGACTAACTAACATAAAGATGAAGAAATAAAGTTGCATAGCATACAAATAAATGAGTATGGCTAGGGCAAAAAGTATGAATTAGGATTACTGGGAGATGAAGCTAGATAAAATATTCTGTTATATGCCATCTGACTCTAAATGGCCCCATGGCAGCAGGCAGCACATTAGACTAGGGAGAATTAAGCTTTAGTCCCTGCTCTGCTATTAACTAGCAGTATGACCTTCCAACTTCAAAGTTCTGGTTCTATTTGTTAGTTCTTGTCCTTTAGAGCAGGGTTTCTGAACCTTGGCACTATGGACATTTGGGACTGCATAATTCTTTGGTGAGGTGGGGAGCACTCTGTACATTGTAGGATGTTTTAGCAGCATCCCTGGCCTCTACCCACTAGATGCCACAGAAGCAACAATGTTTACAGACATTGTAAAATGTCCCCCGTGGGATGAAAATTGCCTCCAGCTGAAAATCACTGCTCAAGAATAATACTAAACTCTTTGAGTTCATGACTCAAGTCTTCTACTTCCTTACAGCCATACGAAAACATAACCAAGTGTCAGTACATAAGTCAAAAACATTACATTCATACATTCTTACAGTGACCTGAGCTGAAAATGTTTCTTGATACAGAGGAGAGAGACAAGGCCTCAAAGGAATCAATCAACAAATATTCCTTTAGTACTTATGAGGTTCAAGGCCCAATTTCTCACTGTTCCTATGATAACTTCAGAAAAGTACTTTACACAGAATGTTTGAAGTAAAATGGGCAGAACTCTCCTACTGAGTCAAATCAGCACGTATTTACCAGGCATCCTTTATGTGTGTGTACTGTGTACCCCCATCACTATTTAGGGAGGGCTTTCTGATTTGTACATGTCCCAGCTAAGTTTAAAAAAAAAAAAAAAATACCTCAAGGCTTTGCCAGGGTAATGAAGTCAACCACCTCCTCCCTTTTCCTACTTCACACAATGCCTCACAGAATGTATTCAGGTGTTCTAACTCAGGTCTTCATTTCCCTAGAATAACAGAGGTCCCATAATATCCCAGGCCAAGTGGATATAAGAAATGGAAATGCCCATTTGGGTGGTACCTTAGCAGACAATTAAGGACATTTCTTTCTTTCTTTTTTTTAAAGATTTATTTATTTGAGAGAAAGAGAGAAAGAAAGAGCATGCAAGCAGGGGAGAGGCAAAGAGAGAGGGAGACAAGCAGACTCCCCACTGAGCACAGCGCCCTGATGTGGGGCTTGATCCCAGAACCCTGAGATCATGACCTGGGCCAAAAGCAGACGCTTAACCGACGGAGCCACCCAGGCGCCCCGGACCACACTTCTAAATAAACAATCCAATACAGGTTTCATGCTACCTATCAAAGCTCTTTTCCTTTTTTCCAACTGGGACCTGTGTCTTGCCAAGCAAGTCTGTTCACAGTCTCAAAACACATGGGACTCATTCCTATCTCTGGGCCTTTGCATATTCTTCCTTCTGCTTGCAATGTTTCCCTCTCTTTTATCCCATCCAAATCCAACTTGTCCTTTGAGAGCCCAGCTGCAATTTCACCTTCCCTCAAGAAGCCTGCCCTGATTCCCTAGCTTACTGAATTTGGCCCTCTACTTTTCTCAAACATGGATTTTTCTCCTTACTCAAAGTGTGGCACAAAGACTAGTATCAGCATTGTCTGGGTGCTTGTTAGAAATGCAGAATCTCAGGCATCACTCCAGACCCACTGATTCAGAATCCTCCTTTTAATAAGGTCTCTGGATGATTCATATGCACATTAAATCTGAGAAGCACTGTTCCATACCAGTCATTCATAGTCTTATCTTAGATGTGATTTCCAAGTGATGTAACTGCTTTTTTTTAAAGATTTTATTTATTTATTTGACACAGAGAGACTGTGTGTATAAGCAGTGAGAGGGGCAGGCAGAGGGAAAGGAAGAAGCAAGCTCCCCGCTGAGCAGGAGGCCTGATGAGGGGCTCAATCCCAGGACCCTGGGATCATGACCTGAGCCTAAGGCAGACACTTGACTGAGTGAGCCACTCAGGTGCCCCGAAGTAACTGCTTCTTAAGGCCAGGACCAGGACTAAGGAAGGTGGGGGTAAGCCAAGGGACCTAGGGCTCAAAACTTAAGGAGGCACTCATTGTACTGGCCCTCCATGCGCATGACCTTGAAAGTGAGTGCCTTGGGTGCCTGGGTGGCTCAGATGGTTAAGCGTCTGCCTTCGGCTCAGGTCATGATCCCAGGGTCCTGGGATCGAGTCCCGCATCAGGCTCCCTGCTCCTTGGGAGCCTGCTTCTCCCTCTGCCTCTCTCTCTCTCTCTCTCTCTCTGTCTCTGTCTCTGTCTCTCATGAATAAATAAATAAAAAGTTAAAAAAAAAAAAGTGAGTGCCTTGTTTGCTTCACCCTAGTCCTGGCCTGCTTATGTCTACCTTGCTTCCATCCCATAAACCTGGAAGATTCCCACAGAGCCAAGGAGAATACACTGCTTTCTGTCTTTCAAGGAGAAGAGAACAGAGCTGAGCATATACTAAGCACTCAGTGAGTACTAGAGGAATTGAACAGAATTCTCTCCACTACAATAAGTATGCTGACAAACCAGCACCCCACCTGGAGATGCTTAAATGGGAGTGTAAATAAACACTTGAAAAATACTTAGTAGCTATCCGGGAAAGAAGTATTCATTTGACACCAGGAGGCACCCAGAAAATCATGTTTGTCAAAACAAAAAGAAACAACACAACTACATCTTCAAAGAAGCAAGACGACTCCACTGAAGGGAAAACTAAGGAAGATCCAAAGAACTGGGCCAGCCATGGGGTGTCTCTCCATGATGGTGGTCAAGCATGTTACTACCTATACCTTAGTCTCTCCGTCTAGAAAATAGAGAATAAGACTTCTGACTTCATTGTGGGGCTGTGAGGGTAAGAACATTCAAGGTGACCAAGTGATTTCCTTGCCTTTCCTCCTGGGAGAGTGGAAGCACTTTATAAAGTATCAGGAGAGGCTGTGGAACCGAATACTGATGAAGCACAGGAGACTACTGCTTTTCAGAGCCTCAGGGAAAATACCTCAGAAGGGCAAGCACTAAGGAGGAGACTAGACCTGGGCTTAGAGGACTGTTCAGCACTTCATGAAGTACTATGAATGCAAAGAGTAGAGACATGATTTGGCTTTAGTATTTGCCTCCTGAACCAAATGATTCTTTAAACTACATCCATATTGGTCTTCTAGCACAAGTGGAAAAACAAGGAAAGCTGTAAACCATAGCTATAATTAACCCGTACCATCTGGAAATACATCTTTATTTGCTCCCTCATTAATGAGTTTATTCATCTGGGTCCAAGCAGGTAAGTCAGTCTGATTGTGCCCTGTCCAGAGCTCAGGTAGCTAATTAAGGAGGCTCTCCAAGCATGGTTACTGACTGATGGGTTCACATCCAACTCCCAAGACCCACACATAGAATATTTTCTTGCCAACCAATCCCTCCCTTCCTAGAAGCTCACAAGGCCCTTAGTAGTACCAATCTACCTAAGTCCAGATTTGAAAAAGTTAAATCAAAAACGTCAGGCAGAGAGCTAGAGAAAATTTCATAAAAAACAGAAAATGCTCAGGTGCAGAAGATTCAGGGACCCACCCCTGTAATCCAACAACAGGCCTCTTGTACCCCACAAATATTGGATACTCTGTGGTATGAGTTTTTACACAGGCTGGTTACTTTGTCCATTAAGGCCCTCTCTTCCACCAAACTACATTATGCCTTCCTACAAAATGCTGGCCAAATCCTCCTGGCTCGAAGGCTCTTCAGACTGACCCCATTCACTGAAGAAACAAACATCCTTTACTGTCTTCCTAAGCATGGGCCATAGCCCAGTAGCATCAGCACCCTGAGAGCTTATTAAGAAACAGAGAATCTCAGACTCGAGACCTCCTGAATCAGAATCTACACTAAATAAGATAGACAGGTAATCCATATACCCTTTAAAAGTTTGAGAAGCCCTGCTACTGCACCCCAGCACTCACATTCACAACTTGTCCTACAATCATACACTTCAATGCACCTGATTCTTTTAATAACAGCTGTACTGAGATCTAATTCACATACCATAAAATCCACCCATTTAAAGTGTACTATTCAGTGCTTTTTAGTATATTCAGAGTTGTGCTGCCACCACCACTTCTAAGTTTAGAACATTTTACCACCCCAAAAAGAAACCACATACCAGTTAGCAGTCCCTCTCCATCCTCCCCCCAGCCTAAGAAACCACTAATTTACTTTCTGTTGCTATCTACAGACTGCCTAGTCTAGATGTTTCATATAAATGGGATCATAAACATGTAGTCTTTTGTAACTGGCTTCTTTCATTTGCATAATGTTTTCAGTGTTCATCAGGCTGTAGCACGTATTGTGGTTCATTCCTTTTTATTTCCAAATAATACTGCACTGTATGAACATACCACATTATAGCTATCCACTCATCAGTTACTGGACATTTGGGTTGTTTATACTTTTTAACTATTACAGATAATGCTGTTATGAACATTTATCTACAAGTCTTTGTG